AGTCGACGACTACACGAGTTACACCACGGTCTTCCCCTTGCAGCGCAAGGGGGATGTCCCTGCTATTTTGATCCCTTGGATCCGCACTGTTCGTCTCCAGCTCCGCGAGCGGTTCGAGTCGGACTTTCTTGTCCTGTGTCTGCACTCTGACAGAGGTGGTGAGTTCACCTCTGACCTCTTGCGAGCCTACTGTGAGGAGCACGCATCCGCCAGACGTTCACGCTTCCGGCCTCTTCGCAGCAGAGTGGGATTGCTAAGCGCCGCATTGGCTTAGTCATGGAGGTCACTCGTACCTCCATGATCCATGCGGCTGCCCCCCATTTTCTGTGGCCATTTGCGGTCCGGTACACCGCGCATCTGCTCAACCTCTGGCCCCGTGTCTCCGTTCCGGAGACTTCGCCCACACTACGCTGGACGGGGGAGGTTGGCGATGTGTCGCGATTCCGGGTCTGGGGTGCTTGTGCCTTTGTCCGCGATACCACTGCGGATAAGCTCTCCCCTTGCGCCATTCCCTGCGTCTTCTTTGGTTTTCCCCCTGACGCGCCTGGCTGGCAGTTTTACGACCCCGCCTCGCGCCGTGTCTTTGCATCTCAGGACGTCACCTTTGACGAGTCGGTCCTCTTTTACCGTCTTTTTCCCTACCGCACTGCCCCCCTCCCCCCCCCCCGTCGCTCTTTCTCGCTCCAGGTCCTCCCCAGGTAGACTCCCTCCCCGCTCCAGGTCCTGCTCCTTCAGGTGTGTCTCAAGTAGATCCTCCTCCCTTGTCTGAGCCGGTTGAGGTCACTGGTGACTCAAGTCCTGCTGGGGGTGGTCCTGCTCGGGGTGCTGCTTCTGGGGGTGCTGAGTCTGGGGGTGCGGAGCCTGGGGGTGCACAGCCTAAGGGTGCGGAGCCTAGAGGTACTGAGCCTGAGCGTAAGGAGCCTGGGGGTGTTGAGCCTGAGGGTGCGGAGCCTGGAGGTGCTGAGCCTGGGCGTGAGGAGTCTGGGGGTGCTGAGCATGGGGGTACTGAGTCTGGGGGTGCTGCGCCGGGGGGCACTGAGGCGTCTGGTAAGCAGTCTCCTTGGAGTGGCCGTCTCCGTAGTCGCTCCGCTGGTGCTTCGCCGCAACACTCTCGTCGGCGTCTCCCTCTCTCCCCACAGCAGCTGCGTGAGTGGTACGTTAGCCGTCAGGGTCGCGCTGCTGGAGTTGGGGGCCCTGCTACGGGAGGCGCTGGCGTTGGAGGCAATGGAGCTGGTGACTCTGCTAGTGGAGGTGTTTCTACTGGAGTTACTGGACCCGCTGGTCCCAGAGGTGCTCGTACTGGAGGTACTGGAGCTGCTGTGGCTAGAGGTACTTCTGGACCTGGAGGTGCTGCTGTTGGAGACACTGAGGCTGGAGACCCTGGGGCTGGAGGTGCCGGTTCTGGGGGTGCTGCTGCTGGTGGTGCTGGTACTGGAGGTGCTGGCGCTGGAGGTTCTGGAGCTGTTGGAGGTGCTGGCGCTGGTGGCGCTGGAGCTGGAGGTTCTAGAGCTGCTGGAGGTGCTAGTACTAGAGGTGCTGGCGTTGGAGGTTCTGGAGCTGCTCGGGGTGCTGGCGCTGGAGGTTCTGGAGCTGCAGGAGGTGTTGGAGCTAGTGGTGCTGGTGGCACTGCACAGCTGCGACTGTTCTTCGCTCCGCCGTTACATTCGTCTCTGCCGCCGCCTGACTCCGTGCTTCGCCAGGTTCTTAGCATCCCGTCTTCTACTGGTCTTCCGTTACAGCCTGGCTCACCGCTGCCTGCTCCTTCTCCTTAAACTGAGCAGACAGGAGGTCTTGCTGAGCGTCGTGCGCCTGCGTCTCGTCCTGTCTCGCCTGTTTGCACTGTACGCACTAGTCGTATTGGTCGTCGTGTTCCTCGTGAGCGTCCGCCGGCTGTCCCCGGCACACACCTCATGGCCCTGCGTCCTTCCTCTGCTCCGCAGCGTGTTCCTCTGCTGTCCCCTCCTGCGTCTTCTCTGCCTGACATTCCAGACCCTGAGTCTGACCGCGCTCGTGTTGCTCACCCTACTGTCACGCGTCTGCTTGCCATTGTTGTCACTGACCCTTCGTTTGAGTCCACTGCTGCGTCTGCTTTAGCTGCTGGGCTTGTTGACATTGCTGCTGCCTGTCGTCTAGACTACGATGCTAGTCTTGTTGCTGAGTCTGAGTCTGTCTGTCCTCCGTCCGTCGGGGGTGAGTGTGCTCTTGGCATGGACGTCCTTGAGGACAGGCAGGAGGACTTTGAGTGTATTGCAGCCGCTGCGCCTCATCTCGTGGCCATGCTGCTTGCCCCTGAGGGAGACCCGGATGCACCAGACATCCCGACCCTACGCGCTTACGCTGAGGCGATCGCGGGTGAGTACTCCTCTCAGTGGCAGACAGCCATGGACGCAGAGATGGCATCCTGGAAGTCCACAGGCACTTACGTCGATGAGGTTCCCCCTCCTAGGACGAACATCGTCGATGGCATGTGGATTTTCAGGGTGAAGCGGCCGCCGGGTTCTCCGCCTGTCTTCAAGGCTCGTTACGTTGCTCGAGGCTTCAGTCGGCGAGAGGGAGCTGACTTCTTCTATACCTTCTCCCCCACCCCGAAGATGACCACTCTTCGGGTAGTGCTGCACATTGCTGCTCAGCGTGACTACGAGCTTCACTCTCTGGACTTCAGCACAGCCTTCTTATAGGGCAGTCTGCACGAGGAGATCTGGCTGCGCCGCCCACCTGGCTTCACTGGGTCGTTCCCTCCTGGTACCCAGTGGAGCCTCCGCCGGCTAGTCTGCGGTCTCCGTTAGGCGCCTCGAGAGTGGAACGAGACACTGAGGACGACACTTGCGGCTCTTGGGTTTGCCCCTTCCACTGCTGACCCGTCGCTGTTTCTGCGCACCGACACTTCCTTGCCGCCGTTCTACATCCTCGTGTACGTCGACGACTTGGTCTTTGCCACTGCTGATACTGAGGCTCTCGCCGTGGTGAAGTTGGAGCTGCAGAAGAGACACACGTCTACAGACCTGGGTGAGCTGCGCAGTTATCTTGGCTTGCAAATCACGCGGGACAGAGCACGGCGCACCATCACACTGACTCAGTCACACATGGTGCAGCAGGTCCTTCAGCGCTTCGGCTTCACCTGGTCCTCGCCATAGTCCACTCCTCTGGCTACAGGTCACTCGTTCTCAGCTCCACCTTCGGACGAGTCCGTAGTGTCAGAATCCCAACCACTAGACCATTGGGATAAAAGGGCTTGTTTGTGTAGCGGGTGAGTGCGCCCATAACCCCCCAGACCAACATTCCTGCAACCTTTCCCTAGGATCAATCGGGGATCACCAGTGGACCTCTAACACCCCCCCCGCACTGGGATGCCCGAAGTGTACACACCGGGATTCGAACCCGAGACCTTCGCTCTGATACCATGTCAGAATCCCAACCACTAGACCATTAGGATAAAAGGGCTTGTTTGTGTAGCGGGTGAGTGCGCCCATAACCCCCCAGACCAACATGCCTGTAACCCTTCCCTAGGATCAATTGGGGATCACCAGTGGACCTCTAACACGTAGAGCCGAGTGGTCCGTACTCAGAGCTAGTGGGCTGCCTCATGTACCTGATGACCTGCACTCGACTTGACCTTGCGTACCCTCTTGGCCTTCTGGCTCGCTACGTGGCTCCTGGTAGACACCGAAAGGTGCACACGGATGGTGCTAAGAGGGTACTGCGTTACTTGTGCAGTACATCGGGCATGGGGCTCGTGCTTGGAGGGCGGAGCCCAGTTGTCCTTACTGGACACTCAGACGCTTCTTGGTTGACGACCTAGCTACGCAGCAGTTGTCATAGGGTTACACGTTCAGCCTTGGCTCTGGCTCTGTTTCGTGGCGGTCTACACGTTCGTCTTCAGTTCTCAGCTCCAGTTGTGAGGCTGAGATCTACGCCACTGCCATGGTTGCACAGGAGCTACGTTGGCTCACCTACCTGCTGACCGACTTGGGAGAGCGGCCTCGTTCTTCTCCAGTTCTGTACGTAGACAACAAGGCCGCCATTGCCTTGTGTCAGGAGCACAGACTGGAGCACAGAACGAAGCACATCGCTCTGCGTTACTTCCTGGCTCAAGAGTTGCAGCAGCGTGGTCAGCTTCGTGTTGCTCACGTGGCCACTCGGGCCAACACTGCTGATATATTCACCGAGGCACTTCCGTCTGGTGATCATCAGCGCTTTTGTACTATGTTAGGCATTGTGCCTACGTTTCCTCATTTGCTGTAGACTTTGCTTGTGATGCGATCTACATATATATACCTACATGCTTTCTCTTGCTAGGTAGCGATCACTGTACTGCTGTTGTTGCATATATACATCAGCATGTGAACTGGCCTTGTGCTTGGTGTGTGTGGTGACGTTGTGATCCACCCCGAGCTTGCTTTGCTTTTCTTGACAGGTCTTGTGACCCCTTGTTCTCCCCCACTTTGCCTACGGGGGTGTGTCAAACTATATGTATATGTTATAATGATGTGTAGGCTGTAGTGGGGTAGCCAATGTAGGGTATAGGGTTTGTTACTTGTACCCAACTCTCTCGATAGTCAACACACATTTCCTTCCCTTTACTCTCGACAGTAAGCCACATTACACAGCTTGATCAGACATTCTCATCGCATGATACACTGCGCAGCACCGTACAGTACCACTCAACTGAGATACGGTATGAGGTGAAGGTTGAGACACAAAGATATGGAAGTGCCCTGAGTTACCATCCACCACCACATGTCGACCTTTTATCGAGAACAAAGCCCATGCATACAAAAGCCATAGGGTGTGGCTACCGTACATGTTCGGGTCCCAGTCCTGCCAATCTAACCCAGCACCACACCAACCCAGCACAGTTCCCACTACCTGTAAATCTGAAATGATCCTTGACCCTCGTCACGTGCAGCTTCACCTGCTCTAATCTAAATCAACCGAAACCAATCCGTCCGTTCCGTACCGCCTGAATTCCTCCAAACCGTGCTCCTCCAGGGGTGAAAGGATCAGCCAATGGAGGAAAGGACACTGCTTGGTGCTGTGCCCGCAACCACCACCTCCCATCCAGGCCCGGCCACTGGCAGCGACCGCACCACACGAGGCGCCTTCTCTCCCCCTCTGCCCGACCCTTCACCACTCGCCTTCGAATTCCCATCAGCAGCAGCAGGAGCAGCAGCAGCAGCAGGAGGAGGAGGAGGGTTGGGTGGAGAGTGGAGCAGGTCGGTGCGATCCAGCAGGAGGTCCAAGTTCTCATCACTGATTTCTGCTGACTGCACCAGCTCATCGTGCTGCGAGCGCTCCGGACGCAGCAGTGATAGCACCTCTGACTCCTGTGCATAGGGCGGCAGGGTTTGGTGGGGAAAGGAGAGGGCGTTTTTTAGAGTGTGTGTGTGGAACGGGTTAATCTCTGCTGACTGCGCCAGCTCATCGTGCTGTGAGCGCTACGGACGCAGCAGTGACAGCACCTCTGACTCCTGCGCGTGGGGTGGCAGGGTTTGGTGGGGAAAGGAGAGGGCGTTTTCGTGAGAGTGTGTTTGTGGAACGGGTTAATCTCTGCTGACTGCGCCAGCTCATCTTGCTGCGAGCGCTGCGAGCGCAGCAGTGACAGCACCTCTGACTCCTGCGCATGGGGGGGAGGCGGGGAACGGGGGGGGAAATGTTTTTGAGGCGCCCAATCAACGGGTTAACCTCTGCTGACTGCACCAGCTCATCGTGCTGCGAGCGCTGCGAGCGCAGCAGTGACAGCACCTCTGACTCCTGTGCATAGGGCGGCAGGGTTTGGTGGGGGAGGGGAGAGTGTTTGCAAAACAGGTCAATCTCTGCCCAGCCCACTGCACCAGCTCAGCTCATCGTGCTGTGAGCGCTCCAGACATAGCTGTGACAGCACCTCTGACTCGCATGCACATAGTGGGGTGGGAGGAGTTGTGGTTCGCGCATCCACGCACCAACGGCCTTTGAGTCGACTCAAAAGTCAATTCGCGCATTCACGCACCCACAGCCACCTCACCATGGATAGACAGCTCCTTCCCCCATGATTCAAAAAGCACAGGCGGTTCTCCCTATAGCATGACACATCCCACCATACCCCCCCACCGCAGTTTTCCCCCTTTATTGCCCCCCTTCACCCTCTTGCTCACATCGATCTTGGTCTTGGCAGGCGCAGCCTTATCTTGCTGGAACTGGCCCTTCTCAATCACCAGATGGCATGACACATCCCACCATACCCCCCCCCACCGCCGTTTCCCCCCTCATTCCCCCTTTCCCTTCACCCCTTGGCTCACGTCGATCTTGGTCTTGGCAGGAGCAGCCTTGTCTTGCTGGAACTGCCCCTTCTCAATCACCAGATGCTCCAGCTTCAGCTTGCCCCGCGCCACATCCAGCACCCGGCACTGATTGGAGAGGGGAGGGAGGGAGGATGAGGGCGAGAGGAGAGGGGTGTGCTTTGAGTCTCCAGCTTCAACTTGCCCCGCGCCACATCCAGCACCCGTACCTCCACGGAGTGAGCAGTGGCGAGGTGGGACACATGCAGGGGGCACGTCTGACCCTTCCATGACCTTTTCTCACCTCTCATCCTGCAAGCCACTTCATTCCTTCTGCACCCCCTCTACCCCACTGCACCTGCACCCCCTCACCTCCACGGAGTGAGCAGTGGCGAGGCGGTAAACGTGCACGGGGCGGGTCTGCCCTATGCGGTGACAGCGGTCCATGGCCTGCATGTCCTGGTGGGGGTTCTGAGGGGCGACAGGGGGGTGAGGGGGAGAGGGAACGTAAGGGGGACAGGAAGGAAGAGTATGAGCAGGAGGAAACACTGCAGCAGCGGCCCACGGCCTGCATGTCCTGGTGGGGGTTCTGTGGGGTGTGGGCCAAGGGGGGAAGAGGGTAGAGGAGCAGGGGGCACAGGGAGCATGCCTACAACCGCCTACAACCGCCTACAACCGCATACAACCGCATACAACCGCCAACTACTGACCCACCCAGTCTGAGTCGTAGATGATAACGGTGTCAGCTGCTGTGAGGTTGATTCCCAGCCCGCCTGCCCGCGTGCTGAGCAGGAATATGAACGCCTCTGGACTCGTGTTGAACTCCTCTATCTGCCATCCGCACCCAGGGGGACGGAGAGGGGTGAAGGGGGATAGACGGGTGTGAAAGGCGGTGGAGGAGAGTGGAGGAGGATGGAGGGGGATGGAAAGAGAGATGGAGAGGGATGGAGGGGGGAGCGGAGAGGAGGGGAGGGGGGAGCGGAGGGGAGGGGAGGGGAGGGGAGGCATCTCCACAGAGGTCATCAACGCGTATTGTGAGTCAAATAAAAATGCGTCCCTCCGCTCACGACCAACTCTCTCCCACCTTCTGCTGCTGGTTGTCGAGGCATGTGCTGAGTGGTTTCATTCAAAATACTACACCTCTCCCATCCCCTACCTCTTGTCACCACCTCCCTTTCATCTTCCTTTCCCTCCCCTCAAAATCTCCCTCTCCCATCTCTCTCTGCCCTCCCTCCCACCTGCTGCCGCCGGTCGTCGAGCTTGACGGATCCGTCAAGGCGGAAGGGGTGGTGGCCGCGCTCCTCCAGATAGTAGTCCAGTATGTCCAGCAGACGCGTCATCTGCGAGAAGATGAGCACCTGGGGGAAGGGAGAGGGGAGAGGAGGGGACACACACAACCACACAGGCAGGAAGCGGAGTGTGGGGTGGTGGCCTGGCCGCGCTCCTCCAGATAGTAGTCCAGTATGTCCAGCAGGCGCGTCATCTGCGAGAAGATGAGCACCTGAGAGAGAGGGGAGGCGGGAGAAATAGGGGCAACGCATGGGCAGAAAGAGGGCTAAGAGTAGACCCTACAGCGCTCCCCCAGATAGTAGTCCAGTATTTCCAGCAGGCGCGTCATCTGTGAGAAGATGAGCACCTGGGGGGGGAGGGAGAGGGCGGAAGGCAAGGATTGGGGTGGGGAGAAGGGGCAATACACAGGCAGAAAGATGATTCTTATTAGATAGTAGTCTCCACGATGTTCCTCCAGATAGTAGTCCGGTATGTCCAGCGGCCGTGTCATGTGCGAGGAGGTGAGCACCTGCGCTGCGCTGGGGGGAAGGGCAGGGCATCACCACAGAAGCAGAAGCAGGAAGAGAAAGAAAGTTCCTGTTTGAGGCGACTCAGTTACATTTGGACGGGGTAAGGGATCGGTTGGAAGGAAACATCAACGGGCAAGCAGACTCACAGACTCACACCTGCCTTGAAGAAACAACCGGCTCCCTTCTCGTCTCTCAATGCCCCGTGCCTCATTCCCGTCCTTTGAGTTTTGAGACGTCTGAAAACTCTTGAGACATCTCAAGTCTCTCCATGCCCCCGGCCTCCTTTCCGTCCCTCCTACCCAACCACGCACGCACCATCCATCCTACCTGGTCCCCCTCCGCCCCTGCTCCCTCCCCCCTGCCACTCTATCCCCACTCGTCTCCCACTCGCCTTCCCACTCATCTCGCCTCCTCCCACTCCTCCCGCATGCTCACTCCTCCCCCACCGTCTCCCCCCTACCTTGTGCCCTTTGGACTTGAGTTGGGGCAGCAGGCGGTCCAGCAGCTTCAGCTTGCCGCACTGTGCCACCATCTCCTCTACAGGCGGGTACACGTCTGAGGGTCGTGTGAATGGGTGCGTGTTAGCAGTGTGTGTGGGGGGGGGGGGAGGGAGGAGGGGGGGGGGGGGGGGGGGGGGGGGGGGGATTGTTTAGTCGTTTAAAAAAAGCAGCTTCAGCTTGCCGCACCGCGCCACCATCTCCTCCACAGGCAGCTACACGTGTGGGGATTGTGAGCCGAGCATGGCCGCAAGTGTTTGGGTGTGTGTGGGAGGATGGGGCGGGAGGGAAGTTGCGTGTGTGTACACACGAGTGTGCATGTGCGTGTGCGTGTGCGTGTGCGTGCGTGGCATCGTGTATGAGAGTGTATGTGAGCGTCAGGAAGGATAGCCTGGGGAGACAAGGTTGGCAGGAGGAAAGGAGAGACAGCAGGGAAGGAGGGCAGCAGGGAAGGAGGGCAGCAGGGAAGGAGGGCAGCAGGGAAGGAGGGCAGCAGGGAAGGAGGGCAGCAGGGAAGGAGGGCAGCAGGGAAGGAGGGCAGCAGGGAAGGAGGGCAGCAGGGAAGGAGGGCAGCCGGGAAGGAGGGCAGCAGGGAAGGAGGGCAGCTGGGAAGGAGGGCAGCAGGGAAGGAGGGCAGCCGGGAAGGAGGGCAGCAGGGAAGGAGGGCAGCAGGGAAGGAGGGCAGCCGGGAAGGAGGGCAGCAGGGAAGGAGGGCAGCAGTGAAGGAGGGCAGCAGGGAAGGAGGGCAGCAGGGAAGGAGGGCAGCAGGGAAGGAGGGCAGCAGGGAAGGAGGGCAGCAGGGAAGGAGGGCAGCAGGGAAGGAGGGCAGCAGGGAAGGAGGGCAGCAGGGAAGGAGGGCAGCAGGGAAGGAGGGCAGCAGGGAAGGAGGGCAGCCGGGAAGGAGGGCAGCAGGGAAGGAGGGCAGCCGGGAAGGAGGGCAGCAGGGAAGGAGGGCAGCAGGGAAGGAGGGCAGCAGGGAAGGAGGGCAGCAGGGAAGGAGGGCAGCAGGGAAGGAGGGCAGCAGGGAAGGAGGGCAGCCGGAAGGAGGGCAGCAGGGAAGGAGGGCAGCCGGGAAGGAGGGCAGCAGGGAAGGAGGGCAGCAGGGAAGGAGGGCAGCAGGGAAGGAGGGCAGCAGGGAAGGAGGGCAGCCGGGAAGGAGGGCAGCAGGGAAGGAGGGCAGCAGTGAAGGAGGGCAGCAGGGAAGGAGGGCAGCAGGGAAGGAGGGCAGCAGGGAAGGAGGGCAGCAGGGAAGGAGGGCAGCAGGGAAGGAGGGCAGCAGGGAAGGAGGGCAGCAGGGAAGGAGGGCAGCAGGGAAGGAGGGCAGCAGGGAAGGAGGGCAGCAGGGAAGGAGGGCAGCAGGGAAGGAGGGCAGCAGGGAAGGAGGGCAGCAGGGAAGGAGGGCAGCAGGGAAGGAGGGCAGCCGGGAAGGAGGGCAGCAGGGAAGGAGGGCAGCCGGGAAGGAGGGCAGCAGGGAAGGAGGGCAGCAGGGAAGGAGGGCAGCAGGGAAGGAGGGCAGCAGGGAAGGAGGGCAGCAGGGAAGGAGGGCAGCCGGGAAGGAGGGCAGCAGGGAAGGAGGGCAGCCGGGAAGGAGGGCAGCAGGGAAGGAGGGCAGCCGGGAAGGAGGGCAGCAGGGAAGGAGGGCAGCAGGGAAGGAGGGCAGCAGGGAAGGAGGGCAGCAGGGAAGGAGGGCAGCAGTGAAGGAGGGCAGCAGGGAAGGAGGGCAGCAGGGAAGGAGGGCAGCAGGGAAGGAGGGCAGCAGGGAAGGAGGGCAGCAGGGAAGGAGGGCAGCAGGGAAGGAGGGCAGCAGGGAAGGAGGGCAGCCGGGAAGGAGGGCAGCAGGGAAGGAGGGCAGCCGGGAAGGAGGGCAGCAGGGAAGGAGGGCAGCAGGGAAGGAGGGCAGCAGGGAAGGAGGGCAGCAGGGAAGGAGGGCAGCAGGGAAGGAGGGCAGCCGGGAAGGAGGGCAGCAGGGAAGGAGGGCAGCCGGGAAGGAGGGCAGCAGGGAAGGAGGGCAGCAGGGAAGGAGGGCAGCAGGGAAGGAGGGCAGCCGGGAAGGAGGGCAGCAGGGAAGGAGGGCAGCCGGGAAGGAGGGCAGCAGGGAAGGAGGGCAGCAGGGAAGGAGGGCAGCAGGGAAGGAGGGCAGCAGGGAAGGAGGGCAGCAGGGAAGGAGGGCAGCCGGGAAGGAGGGCAGCAGGGAAGGAGGGCAGCCGGGAAGGAGGGCAGCAGGGAAGGAGGGCAGCCAGGAAGGAGGGCAGCAGGGAAGGAGGGCAGCAGGGAAGGAGGGCAGCTGGGAAGGAGGGCAGCAGGGAAGGAGGGCAGCAGTGAAGGAGGGCAGCAGGGAAGGAGGGCAGCAGGGAAGGAGGGCAGCAGGGAAGGAGGGCAGCAGGGAAGGAGGGCAGCAGGGAAGGAGGGCAGCAGGGAAGGAGGGCAGCAGGGAAGGAGGGCAGCAGGGAAGGAGGGCAGCAGGGAAGGAGGGCAGCCGGGAAGGAGGGCAGCCGGGAAGGAGGGCAGCCGGGAAGGAGGGCAGCAGGGAAGGAGGGCAGCAGGGAAGGAGGGCAGCAGGGAAGGAGGGCAGCAGGGAAGGAGGGCAGCCGGGAAGGAGGGCAGCCGGGAAGGAGGGCAGCAGGGAAGGAGGGCAGCCGGGAAGGAGGGCAGCAGGGAAGGAGGGCAGCAGGGAAGGAGGGCAGCAGGGAAGGAGGGCAGCCGGGAAGGAGGGCAGCAGGGAAGGAGGGCAGCCGGGAAGGAGGGCAGCAGGGAAGGAGGGCAGCCGGGAAGGAGGGCAGCCGGCAAGGAGGGCAGCCGGGAAGGAGGGCAGCCGGGAAGGAGGGCAGCAGGGAAGGAGGGCAGCAGGGAAGGAGGGCAGCCGGGAAGGAGGGCAGCAGGGAAGGAGGGCAGCCGTGAAGGAGGGCAGCAGGGAAGGAGGGCAGCAGGGAAGGAGGGCAGCAGGGAAGGAGGGCAGCAGGGAAGGAGGGCAGCAGGGAAGGAGGGCAGCAGGGAAGGAGGGCAGCAGGGAAGGAGGGCAGCAGGGAAGGAGGGCAGCCGGGAAGGAGGGCAGCAGGGAAGGAGGGCAGCCGGGAAGGAGGGCAGCAGGGAAGGAGGGCAGCAGGGAAGGAGGGCAGCAGGGAAGGAGGGCAGCAGGGAAGGAGGGCAGCAGGGAAGGAGGGCAGCCGGGAAGGAGGGCAGCAGGGAAGGAGGGCAGCCGGGAAGGAGGGCAGCAGGGAAGGAGGGCAGCAGGGAAGGAGGGCAGCAGGGAAGGAGGGCAGCCGGGAAGGAGGGCAGCAGGGAAGGAGGGCAGCCGGGAAGGAGGGCAGCAGGGAAGGAGGGCAGCAGGGAAGGAGGGCAGCAGGGAAGGAGGGCAGCAGGGAAGGAGGGCAGCAGGGAAGGAGGGCAGCCGGGAAGGAGGGCAGCAGGGAAGGAGGGCAGCCGGGAAGGAGGGCAGCAGGGAAGGAGGGCAGCCGGGAAGGAGGGCAGCAGGGAAGGAGGGCAGCAGGGAAGGAGGGCAGCCGGGAAGGAGGGCAGCAGGGAAGGAGGGCAGCAGTGAAGGAGGGCAGCAGGGAAGGAGGGCAGCAGGGAAGGAGGGCAGCAGGGAAGGAGGGCAGCAGGGAAGGAGGGCAGCAGGGAAGGAGGGCAGCAGGGAAGGAGGGCAGCAGGGAAGGAGGGCAGCAGGGAAGGAGGGCAGCAGGGAAGGAGGGCAGCCGGGAAGGAGGGCAGCAGGGAAGGAGGGCAGCCGGGAAGGAGGGCAGCAGGGAAGGAGGGCAGCAGGGAAGGAGGGCAGCAGGGAAGGAGGGCAGCAGGGAAGGAGGGCAGCAGGGAAGGAGGGCAGCCGGGAAGGAGGGCAGCAGGGAAGGAGGGCAGCCGGGAAGGAGGGCAGCAGGGAAGGAGGGCAGCAGGGAAGGAGGGCAGCAGGGAAGGAGGGCAGCCGGGAAGGAGGGCAGCAGGGAAGGAGGGCAGCCGGGAAGGAGGGCAGCAGGGAAGGAGGGCAGCCGGGAAGGAGGGCAGCCGGCAAGGAGGGCAGCCGGGAAGGAGGGCAGCAGGGAAGGAGGGCAGCCGGGAAGGAGGGCAGCAGGGAAGGAGGGCAGCCGGGAAGGAGGGCAGCAGGAAAGGAGGGCAGCAGGGAAGGAGGGCAGCCGGCAAGGAGGGCAGCCGGGAAGGAGGGCAGCAGGGAAGGAGGGCAGCATGGAAGGAGGGCAGCCGGGAAGGAGGGCAGCCGGGAAGGAGGGCAGCCGGGAAGGAGGGCAGCCGGGAAGGAGGGCAGCAGGGAAGGAGGGCAGCCGGGAAGGAGGGCAGCCGGGAAGGAGGGCAGCCGGGAAGGAGGGCAGCCGGGAAGGAGGGCAGCCGGGAAGGAGGGCAGCCGGGAAGGAGGGCAGCAGGGAAGGAGGCAGCAGGGAAGGAGGGCAGCAGGGAAGGAGGGCAGCAGGGAAGGAGGGCAGCCGGGAAGGAGGGCAGCAGGGAAGGAGGGCAGCCGGGAAGGAGGGCAGCAGGGAAGGAGGGCAGCCGGGAAGGAGGCAGCGGAAGGAGGGCAGCCGGGAAGGAGGGCAGCCGGCAAGGAGGGCAGCCGGGAAGGAGGGCAGCAGGGAAGGAGGGCAGCCGGGAAGGAGGGCAGCAGGGAAGGAGGGCAGCAGGGAAGGAGGGCAGCCGGAAGGAGGGCAGCAGGGAAGGAGGGCAGCAGGGAAGGAGGGCAGCAGGGAAGGAGGGCAGCAGGGAAGGAGGGCAGCAGGGAAGGAGGGCAGCAGGGAAGGAGGGGAAGGAGGGCAGCAGGGAAGGAGGGCAGCAGGGAAGGAGGGCAGCAGGGAAGGAGGGCAGCAGGGAAGGAGGGCAGCAGGGAAGGAGGGCAGCAGGGAAGGAGGGCAGCAGGGAAGGAGGGCAGCAGGGAAGGAGGGCAGCCGGGAAGGAGGGCAGCAGGGAAGGAGGGCAGCAGGGAAGGAGGGCAGCAGGGAAGGAGGGCAGCAGGGAAGGAGGGCAGCAGGGAAGGAGGGCAGCCGGGAAGGAGGGCAGCAGGGAAGGAGGGCAGCCGGGAAGGAGGGCAGCAGGGAAGGAGGGCAGCAGGGAAGGAGGGCAGCAGGAAGGAGGGCAGCCGGGAAGGAGGGCAGCAGGGAAGGAGGGCAGCCGGGAAGGAGGGCAGCAGGGAAGGAGGGCAGCCGGGAAGGAGGGCAGCAGGGAAGGAGGGCAGGCCGGGAAGGAGGGCAGCAGGGAAGGAGGGCAGCAGGGAAGGAGGGCAGCCGGGAAGGAGGGCAGCAGGGAAGGAGGGCAGCAGTGAAGGAGGGCAGCAGGGAAGGAGGGCAGCCGGGAAGGAGGGCAGCAGGGAAGGAGGGCAGCAGGGAAAGGAGGGCAGCAGGGAAGGAGGGGCAGCAGGGAAGGAGGGCAGCAGGGAAGGAGGGCAGCAGGGAAGGAGGCAGCAGGGAGGAGGGGCAGGGAGGAGGGCAGCAGGGAAGGAGGGCAGCAGGGAAGGAGGGCAGCCGGGAAGGAGGGCAGCAGGGAAGGAGGGCAGCAGGGAAGGAGGGCAGCAGGGAAGGAGGGCAGCAGGGAGGAGCAAGGAGGGCAGCAGGGAAGGAGGGCAGCCGGGAAGGAGGGCAGCAGGGAAGGAGGGCAGCCGGGAAGGAGGGCAGCAGGGAAGGAGGGCAGCAGGGAAGGAGGGCAGCAGGGAAGGAGGGCAGCCGGGAAGGAGGGCAGCAGGGAAGGAGGGCAGCCGGGAAGGAGGGCAGCAGGGAAGGAGGGCAGCCGGGAAGGAGGGCAGCCGGCAAGGAGGGCAGCCGGGAAGGAGGGCAGCAGGGAAGGAGGGCAGCCGGGAAGGAGGGCAGCAGGGAAGGAGGGCAGCCGGGAAGGAGGGCAGCAGGGAAGGAGGGCAGCAGGGAAGGAGGGCAGCCGGCAAGGAGGGCAGCCGGGAAGGAGGGCAGCAGGGAAGGAGGGCAGCATGGGAAGGAGGGCAGCCGGGAAGGAGGGCAGCCGGGAAGGAGGGCAGCCGGGAAGGAGGGCAGCCGGGAAGGAGGGCAGCCGGGAAGGAGGGCAGCCGGGAAGGAGGGCAGCCGGGAAGGAGGGCAGCCGGGAAGGAGGGCAGCCGGGAAGGAGGGCAGCAGGGAAGGAGGGCAGCCGGGAAGGAGGGCAGCCGGGAAGGAGGGCAGCCGGGAAGGAGGGCAGCCGGGAAGGAGGGCAGCCGGGAAGGAGGGCAGCCGGGAAGGAAGTGAAGGAGGGAGAAAGGGAAGGAGGGCAGGAGTGCAGGCGTGCAGGAGGGCAAGAGGGAAGGAGGGAAGGAGGGAAGGAGGGCAGGAACGAAGGAAGGGACACGCACAGGAGCCGTCGAACTGCGAGGAGAGGAGGTCCGGGTGGTTGCAGTTCTTGCGCAGCTGCATGACCACATTGTTGAGTCGATGCCGCGACATGGCTGGTGAGGGGCGACGGAGGAAAGGGGGCGTTGCAGGTAAGGAGCATCGGAGGAGGGGGTGGGGGGAGGGAGAATGGAGGTGGGGGCAACGTCATGGTGTGGTGGGCCACTCTTTGTGAATTCTCAAACACAGAGAAGAGAACAAGTGAATAGAGAAAATTCGCAAGAGAAGGTGAGGGTGGGCATGTGGCTGCTTGGGTGGGTGGCATGAGGAACATTAGGGGCAGGAGGGGCATGAGGGGCAGGAGGGGCATGAGGGGCAGGAGGGGCATGAGGGGCATGAGGGGCATGAGGGGCAGTACAGGTGGCGACGGTGGAGTTGAGAAAGTCTGCGAGAGTGCGCTGCACTAGATGGTCCTGGAACTCCCTCTGGTGTGCTGTCAGCTGCTCACACGCACAGGCACACACACACATAGATACCACGCACGCACGCACGCACACACACACACACACACACACACACACACACACACACACACATGCACACAGCACGATGCAATGAGTGAGTGGGGAGCAGAGCGGAGTTTCTTAAGCAGAGGAGAGGAGAGGAGTGGGGGGAATGGGAGGGAGGGAGGAGGGAGGGAGGGAGGGAGGGAGGGAGGGAGGGAGGGAGGGAGGGAGGTGTGAATTAAGAAAACAGGAATGAAATGACTAAGTGAAAGTTGGGTACAAAAAGCAAACCCTAGAAAACTGTACCCCATATGTGCTACCCCACTATAGCCTACAGTAGCTATGTCATATAAATCTGACACACCCCCATAGGCAAAGTGGGGGAGAACAAGGGGTCACAAGACCAGTCAAGCAAAGCAAAACAAGCTCAGGGTGGATCACAAAGTCACCACACATTCCGAGCACAGGTTCAAGGCCACAAGGCCAGTTCACATGCAGGATTGCATATACATATATATAAGACTAGACAAGCAAGAGCAGGTGTATATATATATGCAACAGTACAAACAAGGTCAAGGGGTGAGCAAGTGAGGCAAGGTAGGCACAAGACCAAGCTGAGTACAGAAGCGCTGATGATCACAAGGCGCAAGTGCCTTGGTGAAGATATCAGCAGTGTTGGCCTCAGAGGCCACGTACGCAAGCCGCAGCTGACCACGCTGCTGTAGCTCACGAGCAAGAAAGTAGCGGAGAGCAATGTGCTTCGTTCTGTGTTCCAGTCTCTGCTCTCGACACAAGGCCAGCATGGCCTTGTTGTCTACGTACAGCATTGGGGGAGAACGAGGCGGCTCTCCGAGGTCAGTCAGCAGGTAGGTGAGCCAGCGAAGCTCCTGTGCAGCCATGGCCCCGGCGTAGATCTCAGCCTCACAACTGGAGCCGAGAACAGAAGACGAGCGGGTAGCCCGCCACGAAACAGAGCCGGAACCAAGGCTGAAGGTGTAACCCTGTGACGACCGCTGTGTAGCCTGGTCGTCAGCCCAAGAAGCGTCTGCGTGCCCAGTGAGGACCACTGGACTCTGCCCTCCAAGCACAAGCCCCATGCCCGACGTACTGCACAAGTAGCGCAACACCCTCTTCGCTGCAGCCATGTGCTCCGGTCTGTGTCTCCCAGGAGCAACATAGCGTGCGAGAATGCTAAGGGGGTATGCGAGGTCAGGTCGTGTGCAGGTCATCAGGTACATGAGGCAGCCAACAAGCTCTGGGTACGGGCCACTCGACTCTACGGACTCATCCGAAGGCAGAGCTGAGAGCGAGTGGCGAGTAGGCAGAGGAGTGGCCTGAGGCGAGGAGTACGTGAAGCCGAAGCGCTGAAGGACCTGCTGCACCATGTGTGACTGAGTCAGGGTAATGGTGCGGCGTGCTCTGTCCCGGGTGATCTGCAAGCCAAGGTAGCTGCGCAGTTCACCCAGGTCTGTGCACGTGTGTCTCTTCTGCAGCTCGGACTTCACGTGGGCTAGTCCAGCAGTGTCAGCTGTGGCGAAGACCAAGTCGTCGACGTACACAAGGATGTAGAACGGCGGCAAAGAAGTGTCGGTGCGCAGAAACAGCGACGGGTCGGCAGTAGAGGGAGCAAACCCAAGAGCCGCAAGTGTAGTCCTCAGTGTGTCGTGCCACTCACGCGGTGCCTGGCGGAGACCGTAGACTGGCCGCCGGAGGCTCCACTGGGTGCCAGGAGGAAAAGACCCAGTGAAGCCAGGTGGGCGACGCAGCCAGATCTCCTCGTGCAGGCTGCCCTGCAAGAAAGCAGTGCTGAAGTCAAGAGAGTGCAGCTCGTAGTCGCGGTGAGCAGCTATGTGCAGCAGTACCCGAAGAGTGGTCATCTTCGGGGTGGGAGAGAAGGTCTGAAAGTAGTCAACTCCCTGCCGCTGACTGAAGCCACGAGCCACGTAACGCGCCTTGAAGACAAGCGGAGAACCCGGCGGCCGCTTCACCCTGAAAATCCACATGCCACTGACGATGTTCGCCCCAGGCGGGGGAACCTCGTCAACGTAGGTGCCTGTGGACTTCCAGGAAGCCATCTCTGCGTCCATAGCTGCCTGCCACTGAGAGGAGTAGGGACCCTCTATCGCCTCCGCGTTAGAGCGCGGAGTCGGGATGTCAAGTGCATCCGGGTCTCCCTCAGGGGTAAGCAGTACGGACACGAGATGAGGTGAAGCAGCAGCCAAACACTGGAACTCCTCCTGCCTGTCCTCAAGGACGTCCGTGCCAAGGGCACACTCACCCCCGACGGACGGAGGACAGACAGACTCAGACTCAGCAACAAGACTAGCAGCGTAGTCTAGACGACAGCGAGCAGCAAAGTCGACGAGCTCAGTAACTAGGGCAGACGCAGCAGTGGACTCAAAGGAAGGGTCAGTGACAACAGTAGCAAGGAGACGCGTGACAGTAGGACTGGCAGCACGAAGAGAGTCCGACTCCGGGTCAGGAAGAGCAGGAAGAGAGGACTCAGGAGGAGAAGGCAAAGGGGCACGCAGAGGAGCAGTGGACGGACGCAGAGACATCCGGTGCGTGCCAGGGACAGGAGGAGGACGCTGACGCGAACCACGACCACTAGTGCGAGCAGCACGGACAGGCGACGCAGGGCGAGACGCTGGCTCACGACGCTCAGCAAGACCTCCAGTAGGACCAGTGTAGGGAGAAGGAGCAGGCAGTGGGGAGGCCGGCTGTAACTGTAACTGTGACGGGACAGGCTGTGGACACTCTAAGGGAGGAGGAGGACCAGTAGAAGGCGGGAGACCAAGAACCTGCTGAAGGAGCGGAACGAAGTACGGCCGAGGCCGCGCGGCGACTCCAGACACAGCAGGGACAGCACCAGTACCCCCAGCGGCAGCACCAGCGCCAGCAGCACCTCCAGCTCCAGTACCTCCAGCAGCACCAGTAGCACCCCCAGCAGGACCGCCTCCAGGACCGACAGCAGTAGCCTCAGCGTCAACACCCTCAGCAGCTCCAGCTCCAGTCGTACCCGTAGGCCCAGCAGCTCCAGTACTCCCAGTACGAGCACCTCCGGGACCCGCGGCACCAGCACCCTCAGTAGCCGAAGAACCTCCAGCACCAGCAGCACGCCTCCAGCGCCGGGCAAACTACTCGCGCAGCTCCTGTGGAGAGAGTGGCTCCCGCCGAGACGAAGCACCCGGAGAACCTCCAGGCTCAGCACCGCCAGACGCCACACAAGCAGGCCCAGCTCCCTCAGGCTCCGCACCCCCAGGCTCAGCACCTCCAGGCGTAGAACCCCCAGGCTCAGCACCCCCAGGCTCAGCACCCCCAGGCTCAGCACCCCCAGTAGTAGCACCTCCAGGCTCAGTACCCCCAGGCTCAGCACCCCCAGTAGTAGCACCCTCAGGCTCAGCACCCCCAGGCGTAGCACCCACACGCTCAGCACCCCCAGCGTCAGCACCCCCAGGCTCAGCACCCTCAGCAGCACCAGAGTCACCAGTAACCTCGACAGGCTCGACTGCGTCTACCTGGGACACACCTGAAGGGGCAGGACCCTGAGGGGGGAGGGGGTCTACCGGGGGGGGACCTGGCACAAGGAAGAGCGGTGGCGGGGGGAGGGACGGAGTGCGGTAGGGGAAGAGGCGGTAGTAGGGGACCGACTCGTCAAACGTGACGTCCTGGGAGGACAGAACACGGCGAGAGGTGGGGTGGTAGAACTGCCACCCTGGCGCGTCAGGGGGGAAGCCAAGGAAGACGCAAGGAGCAGCACGAGGGGACAGCTTGTCCGCAGACAAGTCGCGGACAAACGCCCGAGATCCCCAGACACGGAATGCAGACGCATCGCCAACCTTCCCCGTCCACAGCAAGGCTGGGGAGGTCTCTGGCATGGAGACCCTGGGGTGAAGGTTGATCTGATGCGCCGCGTACCGAACAGCAAACGGCCACAGAAAATGGGGGGCAGCCGCATGCATCATGGACGTACGGGCGACGTCCATGACCATGCCAATGCGGCGCTCAGCAATCCCATTTTGCTGTGGAGAGTCCGGAAGCGTGAAGGTCTGGCGGATGCCTCGTGCACGACAGTAGGCTCGCAGAAGGCCAGAGGAGAACTCTCCACCTCTGTCAGAGTGCAGACGCAGAACAGGAAAGTCCGAGCCGAAGCTCTGCCTGAGCTGGAGACGAGCTGCGCGGATCCAGTCGATCAACACCTCAGTGACATCACCCTTGCTGCGCAAGGGGAAGACTGTGGTGTAACGCGAGTAGTCGTCAACCACCAGCAGGAAGTAGCGCTCGTGACCCTGTCCACGGACGCGGGCCGGGCCCCACACGTCCATGTGAAGCGTCTGCAGCGGGGCCTCTGTCGGAGGAAACTGAGAGGAGTGAGGGGCAGCCCGCTGCCGCCCCTCGACACAGGGGACGCAGGTAGGGCCAGGCCCCGGAGGAAGGGGAGGGAGGGACCGGGGAAGACCAGAGACAAGGACACGGGAGGCCATGCCTCGGAGACGAAGCAGAGAGGGGTGACCAAGGCGGTGGTGCCAGAGGAGAGTCTCGTGAGACAGGAGGCGACACGAACAGGGGGCAGACTCAGGACCAGACCTAGACGCTGCAGCAAACACCTGACCTGACGCAGCTACCTGACCAGACGCAGTGACCGGAGGAGACGCAGTGGTCAGTGTGTACAGGCTCGACCCCGGCCGACGCGTAAACGTGGCCAGGTGTCGGCCTGTCCGAGCGTCCGTGCAGTGGGTCACCCGCTGACTCGCAGGAGTGAACTGGTGAACCCCCGCATCCTGTAGGTCAGCACCACTCACCAAGTTCGTAGAGAACGAGGGGAGGTAAAGACCAGACAGGGTGCCAGAGGGGGCCGCCGGACACGGGAGGACAGTGGAGAAGTGAGCAAGGACAGGACCCCCAGAGGGGTCTAACAGAGAGACTGCAACTGGCCGGCCAAGCGGCGTGAGTGTGGTGCGGTCTCGAAAGAAGGAGCGAGAAGCCCCCGAGTCAAGGGTGAAGGTGTGGGAGGCCGAAGCCGACGCAGAACCTGAGAGAGCAGACTCACCAGCACCTGAGGGAGCAGACGCACCTAGAGCAGCAGCCTCGCTAGCACCTAGAGCAGCAGCCTCACCAGTACCTAGAGCAGCAGTCTCAATGCCCGGGTCAGGCGGAAAACACCGGTAACAGTCACCCTCATCACTAATAGTCACAGTATACATGGCAGCAAGAATAGCATCAAAGTCAAGGTCAAAGACAGCTACACCCGCCCTAGACAGCTCACCCCAGCGGGGGATCTCAGTGGCCTCAGGGAACTGGTGACGCCAAGCGTCCGTCAGGCGGCCAAAGCAGCGCTGGGTGGAGTGCGCACCCCCGCACTGGTCACCCGCGCGGTCGCCGGTGCGGAGGACGTAGGTGCACGGACCAGTACCCCCACCCGTCTGGCGTGCAGTGTACCACTCACGGAGCTGCTGAGGGGAGGGGATGTCACGAGTGCGCTGCTGCTGCTGCTGCTGCTGCTGCTGCTGGCGCTGACCACCACCGGAGCCGACCCTCTGCGCAGCGCCACCCCGACCAGCTCCACCTCCTCCGCCGCCTCCTCCTCCACCGCCGCCACCTCCGCTCCCACCGCCACCGTCGCCTCCGCCTCCGCCTCCACTGCCGCCACCGACACCTTCACCCCCGCCACCACCCCCACCGCCACCCCCACCCCCTCCACCGCCTCCACCTCCGCCTCCACCGCCCCCGCTAGCTCCTCCAGTGCCCCTGCCCCCTTTGCCCTTGCCAGGGCGACGTCTCCCGCTAGGGGTAGACGCCGCACCGACCGACTCAAGCCCAACGAGGTCGGCCGCAGCAGCAGAGGCAACAGAGGGCAAAAGAGGGGAGGGGGAACACCCCTCAAAGATGGGGGTGCGAGGGTCACCACGAGAGGCTCCTACAGCGACTATGCTCTTCTCTGCTGCTAGGAGGGACTTCTCGAGGAGGTCAACGGTGAGAGTGGTGGGGCAAACTGAGAGGAAGTGGTCCCTGACTACGCGAAGGGAGTCAGGGAGCCGGGTGACTATGTAGTAGAGGGTGATGTACATGGGGGGGGGGTTCTTGGCGCAGAACTCAGCAGGAAGCGCAGCGCGGTAGCGAGTGTCACTAGTGCGGAGGTGCGTAATGAGGTCAGCGACTGTGGGAAAGGCAGCAAGGTCAGGGAAGAGGTACGGTAGCATGAGGCGGCTCAGTGCAGCAGTGGCAGGGGAGGAGTAGCGCGCAACTACAGCGTCGTACAAGGTCTGAGCACTCTTGTACTGGCTAAAGTGCGCACGCTCAGAGGTAGGCAGGTGGCGACGCACAGCAAGACGTGCAGCAGCATCGCGCGTGGCCCACTGTGAGCGAACAGTGGCGTCAGCATCAGCAGCGGGGGCAGGAGAGGCACCAGAAGTGAGGTCAAAGAGGGAGAGGCCGTCTGCCCTGTCGCACTGTAAGAAAAGCTGCAGGTCATCTATCCAGACATCAAAGTCAATGGCCCGACCCTCAGCGTCAAAAGCGAGGACACTAGGGGTAGCCATGACAGTAGTAGACTAGCAGCGCAAACAGTAGGGTGAGGGCAGTGCTGTGAAAGGGGCGCTGCTCTTACCGGACAGGGCGGCTCGGGTGGCTCGGCTGCAGGGCGGCTCGGCGGCTCGGCTGCTGGGCGGCTCGGCGGCTCGGCGGCTCGGTTGCTGGGCGGCTCGGCGGCTCGGCTGCTGGGCGGCTCGGTGGCTCGGCTGCTGGGCGGCTCGGCTGCTGGGCGGTTCGGCGGCTGGGCGGCTCGGCTGCTGGGCGGCTCGGCGGCTCGGCGGCTCGGCCGTTCGGCTGCGACTGCTGCTGCAGAGACGGCGGCGGCTGCTGCCTCAGGGACGGCAGCGGCCGGCCGCTAGGGGCCGCGTCAGGTGCAGGAGAGGGCCGCGTCAGGGGCGGCGTAGGGGACGCGGCAGGGGCGGCGAAGGGGCCGCGTCAGGGGCCGCGTCAGGGGCCGCGGCAGGGGCCGCGGCAGGGGCCGCGTCAGGGGCCGCGTCAGGGGCCGCGGCAGGGGCCGCGGCAGGGGCCGCGTCAGGGGCCGCGTCAGGGGCCGCGTCAGGGGCCGCGTCAGGGGCCGCGTCAGGGGCCGCGTCAGGGGCGGCGTAGGGGCCGCGTCAGGGGCCGCGTCAGGGGCCTCGTCAGGGGCCGCCTCAGGGGCAGCGTAGGGGCCGCGTAGGGGCCGCGTCAGGGGCCGCGGCAGGGGCCGCGTCAGGGGCTGCGTAGGGGCCGCGTCAGGGGCCGCGTTGGGGCCGCGTCAGGGGCCGCGTTGGGGCCGCGTCAGGGGCCGCGTAGGGGCCACGTCAGGGGCCGCGTTGGGGCCGCGTCAGAGGCCGCGTAGGGGCCGCGTCAGGGGCGACGTAGGGGCCGGGTAGGGGCCGCGTAGGGGCCGCGTAGGGGTCGCGTAGGGGCCGCTAGGGGGGGGGCGCTAAAAAAAAATTTAGGGCAGGGGCGCAATGCGCGTCGGGCAGCTAAAATTTTTTTCGTTATGGTGGGCCCTTAGGAAGGAACGGTCCCATGTAGGAACCCGCTCTATACCATGTGAATTAAGAAAACAGGAATGAAATGACTAAGTGAAAGTTGGGTACAAAAAGCAAACCCTAGAAAACTGTACCCCATATGTGCTACCCCACTATAGCCTACAGTAGCTATGTCATATAAATCTGACAGGAGGGAGGGAGGGAGGGAGGGAGGGAGGGAACCCAGGTGCCTGCGTGTGTAGATGCTTATGCGTGAACCAATTACCTGAGCATAGAGCACGATTTCCTTCTTCTTGGGCAGTGACTGCTCCACGTCCGCCTTGATCCGCCGCAGCAGGAAGGGACGCAGGATCTGATGCAGCTTCGCCACCACCTGCCAGGCAGAGTGAGAAGGCAGGGCAGGGCAGGGCAGGGCAGAAGATACACGGATGAGACTTTTGTAACAACTACGGAAACGAGCAGGAAGGGACGCAGGATCTGGTGCAGCTTCCCCACCACCTGGCAGGCAGGCAGGGTGAGAAGGAAGTGACACGGGTGGGACCATTGAGTCGACTTAAGAAACGAGTACGACGACACTGAGGAAGAGAGAGGGTGGAAGAGGAAGCGCGTAAGAGGAATAGGTAGGTAAGGACAGCTCGTGCTTAGGCTGTGCCACACACTCACACCCACACCAGTTACACAACGAGACAAATGAGCCAGCAACGTTGTCGAAAACAATGTGTTGACACAATATTGGGACTCCCTACACACCTGTGACCTCCTCTCGTTGTCAAAGACCTTCTGATCCACTCCGCCACTTTGTCTCCCTGCCAAGTCGAACCTGAGGTGCACAGAGTAAGGACGGGAGAGAAGAAAGGAGGAGGGGAGGGAGCGAGGGCGGGCGGAGAAGAAAGGACGAAACAGCAGGTGTGAGTATGAGGCCTGAGGGATAAATGCATGCATGCGGACACGCACATAGATGCGCAAGCACGCACCCGCTGGCACACCTGCATGGACACCCCCACACCCACATACACGCCCAGGAGGAGCACAGCGTACCAAGAAGTGAACTCATGGAGATCGGAGAAGATAACAGGAAGGATGAAGTTGAGCAGCGACCAGAGCTCCTGCAGGTTGTTGAGAGTTCTCAAGAACCAACAGAGCTTGCTGCTACCCACCCACCTTTTGGTTGGATTTGAGAGCGTACCAGGAGGTGAACTCATGGAGATCGGAGAAGATGGCCGGGAGGATGAAGTTGAGCAGCGACCAGAGCTCCTGCAGGTTGTTCTGCAGGGGCGTGCCTGACAGCAGCAGCGTGTTCTCCGCTGGCAGCTGCCGCAGCTCCCGAATCAATTTGCAGTGCATGTTCTTCAGCCGGTGGCCCTGATGGCGAGGAGGGTGGGTGGGTCAGAGAAGGAGCAGTGTTTGGCGGGGCAGTTCAAAAGAGGGTCTAGGCCATCAGAATCAGCCGGCAGTGCATGTTCTTCAAGCGGTGGCCCTGGCGGGAGAGAGGGTGGATGGGGAAAGGAGAAGGGGCGTGCCTGACAGCAGCAGCGTGTTCTCTGCTGGCCGGTGCCTCAGCTCCCGAATCAGCCGGCAGTGCATGTTCTTCAGCCGGTGGCCCTGATGGGACGGTGGGTTGGAGAAGGAGAAGGGTGGGGTAAAAGAGGGGTGGAGCGGTTTAAAGGAAGGTTTGGGGCGCATGCGAAGAGAACCAGCTGGCAGTGCATGTTCTTCAGGCGGTGGCCCTGACGGGATGGTGGGTGGGTTGGGGTAGGAGGAGGGACCTCACCTCAGAAACATTGTTAGGTCCACATTTAAGAAATGTACAAAATGTTAGCTTCACAATACTTATTCCAACGGCAGCGCAGCACTAGCTGGAAGTGCCACTGCCTCGTGACGCCTAAGCACCTACTACCATGCCCATGCCCACGCCCATGCCCATGCCCACGCCCATGCCCATACCCACGCCCATGCCCATACCCACGCCCATGCCCATACCCACGCCCATACCCATACCCACGCCCATGCCCATACCCACGCCCATACCCATACCCACGCCCATACCCATACCCACGCCCATGCCCATACCCACGCCCATGCCCATACCCACGCCCATACCCATACCCACGCCCATGCCCATACCCACGCCCATACCCATACCCATGCCCACGCCCCACACACCTCATCCACAACGATGTACTTCCAGTGGTAGCGCTGCAGCTGGCGGCGGTCAAACATGGCCACCTCAAACGACGTCACTATTATCGGAAAGCCCTCCCGCACCTAGCCGCGGGGACGTGGGGAGGGGGTTGGGGAACCGGATGGGGGGGGGGTTGGGGAGGGAGATGGAAAGGGGGGTGAAGAGGGGGATGAGGAGAGGGGTGGGGACGGAGATGGGGGCAGGAATCGGGGAGGGGGGCTGAGAGGGAGGGCAACGGGGAGGGGGATGGCGAGGGAAATGTATTGGCTTGTTGTGTTCACACTAGAGTACAGGATAAAAAATAAGCTTCTCTTCTCTCCCATTCACATCAGTCACACTCCAGGATGAGATGATCACCACAGCAACAGGCTCTCACTGAACCTTCTCTCCCTCCCTCCCTCCACTCCACCTCCACAATCGCCCCTTCCAACGCACGCACCCCTTCCTTCCCCTCCTCACCAGCCCGTGGAACGTGCGTGCCCGAGCTACCCCGGTCCGGTGGTTATCAAGTCAACTCACTGCAATTGCAGTATACACCCTCTTCTCCTGCCATGACCAACCAGCCTCATTACCTGCCGTGCCGTGCCAAGTGCATGCCCAGATTACCGAAGTAGATTTTCTCGACCCACTCAGAGAACGATACCCGCCTTCTTCTCCTGCCATGGCTAGCCATGCAACCAGCCCCTGTACCTGCTTGGGCATGTGCTTCTCCCGGAGCTCTGCGTGTGATGAGTCGAGTTTTGAGTCGACTCAAAATCCGCGTGTAATGAGTCGAGTTCTGAGTCGACTCCAAATCCGCGTGTGATGAGTCGAGTTTTGAGTCGACTCAAAACTCAGCCCCTGTACCTGCTTGGGCATGTGCTTCTCCCGGAGCTCTGTCCGCACGTCCTTGCTTCCGTGGTATAGAAGCACATTCGCTGTAGGCACAAACCTGTCGTGGGTGTTAACATGGAGAGATGTTCCGGGTCAAGAGTGAAACGAGAGGGGGGGGTGGAGGGGGAAGGGTGACAGAGGGCGGAAGTAGGGGAACAGTGGGTCAGGAGCGAGAAGGGGGGAAGAAAAGGGGGGTGTGCAGTTCGGTTGGATGAAATAGAGAGGAAAGGAATGACAATTGAGATGTTTAAGATTGCATATCTAATCTCTAGTTCACCCAGCTCAAATGAGTGAAGTTGGCAGCGCGCTGCACATGCAGCACAAGAAACCCTCACAACACCTCATGCAACCTCCTTAACACCATTCTTACCCCCCCCCCCCCCCCCTCCCCTTCTCCTCCTCTCCTCACACCGCAATAACCTCTCCTCCCTCCTCCCTCCTTTTCCACGCCCACCTCACCTCCCCAGTTTCTCCTCACAACGCACCCACCTCTTGACCTCGTTGACCCAGTTAGACAGCGTCGACAGCGGCGCCACCACAAGAAACGGCCCGAAGATCCCATGGCTCATGAGATGCGCCAGAAACGCGATGGTCTGCACCGTCTTCCCCAGCCCCATCTGATCCGCCAGGATGCCGTTCAGCCCGTTCTGCCAGAGCGAAATCAGCCACTTCACGCCCTTGATCTGATACCACTTGAGCGTGCATCCTGTGAGGTTCGGTGCGATTTCCCGCTGCTCTCGGAGCAACGCGGCTTCTTCCTCCTCCTTGGTGGTTGCTGCGCCACTGCCGGCATCGCCGCTGCCGTTGATTGCTGCCGAAGGAGCGGCTGAGATCTTCTCTTGAAGAGTTTCCTCTGGCGCGTCGGTCTTGCTTTTTTTTCGCTGGATATGGCGTCGAGAGAAGATTGGTGGATGAGCATCGGTGAAAGGGACGAGGGAGGAGGAAAGAAGCCTCTCAGAACGAAAAGAAGTGGTACGATAAGAGCCTAGAAAAGCAGCACAGGATGTGCAGAAATGGGTTCACAACTGCACAATTACCCACCCACCCATCATCCAGCCAGCATCCACCACCGGCACCCACTCACCCCTCTCCCTTTGCCCGTGCCGCCTCCCTTGCGCTTCTTTCCCCCCTCGCCCTTGGAGTCTGCTTGTGGCGGGGGTGTAGGGACAGGCTGTGTATGGGCAGAGGCAGGGGGGGGTTGGATGGGGGAGGAGACAGCAGAGGGGAAAGGAAGGAAGGAAGAAAGGGAGGTTGTTAGCGGGGAGAGAGAAGAAGAGGACAGGACGGCAGTTGGAGAGAGACGTGAAAAGGGAGAGAACGGGAAATGTGTGGTGGGATTGGCATGGGATACACCGTGCCTGTCATGGCATGGCAGGGGCGTAGATGTGTGTGGGCTGAGGAAGACTGAGAGGAAAAGTACCAAGGAACAGGAGATAAAAGGGTAGGAGGGGAAAGGAATACAGAGCAGCAGCACCAAAGACTTTGCCCTTGTTCCCGCCATTATACATCAGCACAAAACAACTCTACTCTGTTCACTGCCCTGTAACTCCCACATTTGCACTCACGCATAGACATTCCAAGACACTGACTAGTAAATTCATGGCACAAAACGTGCCATGGCACGTTCACTCTCGTTACCATGAACGCTCCCTCCTTCCTCCCCCATTTTCCTTCCCACTCTATCCCTTCCTCCCTCGCTCCCTCCCTGTCTCCTTCCCTCCCTCCCTCCCTCCCTCCCTCCCTCCCTCCCTCCCCATCCTTCCTCTCTCCTTCGCTTCCCTCCCTTCCTCCCTCCCTCCATCCATCCCTTTCTCCCTCCTTCCCTCCTTCCCTCTTACCCTCTTTCCCTCTATCCATCCCTCCTTCCCTCCTTCCCTCCTACCCTCTTTCCCTCCATCCATCCCTCCTTCCGTCCTACCCTCTTTCCCTCCGTCACTCCCTCTTCCCCTTCCTCCCTTCCTCCCTTCCTCCCTCCCTCCCTCCCTCTTCCCCTCCCTCCCTCCCTCTCTCCCCCGTCACCCCCCCTTCCTCACCAGCAGAGTGATGTCGTCCATCTGCTGCAGCAGCGACTCCACGCCGTCTCATGCACCCACTCTTCCAACCACGAACAAACAAAGTCCATGCCACAGCACAGGGCGCCAACTCTCCCTCCCTCAAACACTCCCTCCCACCCTCTCTTCTTCCCTCCCTCCCTCCCTCCATCCCCCACTCCCTCCCTCCCCCCCACCACCCACCAGCAGAGTGATGTCGTCCATCTGCTGCAGCAGCGACTCCGAGAACAGCTTCGTCTTCTCCAGAAGCACGTCCAGCTTCGTGAGAGCTGCCGACTCCACGCCCTCGCGCCTCATGCGCTCCTCGCTCTCCGCGTCCTGCTGCTCCTCCCGCTGCCTCCGCTCCGCTTCCAGCTGCCGCTGCTCCGCCAGCATGTCCGTTGTGATTAACGGGTCGGGCACTATCGGATCATCTTCAACTGCGTCGTCCTGTGCGGGTGAGCCGGGGGGTTGGGCAAGGGCGGGGAAGTGGACACGCAGGGGCGGGGAAGGGAAGATTGGGAGAAGCGTGGAGAGGCGTAAGAGAGACAGCTATGGAAGACGGACAGGAGGATGCCGGCTTGTGACCAGTCCTGTGTGTACGCAATCTCGCTGAGGGTGACGGATTGTGACCATCCGTGGTGATCAGTGCTATGCTGTGACAGCGCAACACTACCAGCCAGACGAGCTAATATGTGAATCTCCATCAGTACTTTCGTCCTTTCTTCCTTACACGTGCACCTCGCCTGTGCGCTCTCTGCTGGATACAATGTTCCGTCACCACGCAATACAAGATCCGCCGTTTTCCCTTTTCTTCTCTCTCCCTCCCTCTCTCTCTCTCTTTCTCCTTTGCCATTACTATCCGCCACCACACCCTACAACCGTCTAGACCATCGCGCTAGGTTATCTACTAATCTCCCTCGCGCATGATAATTCGAGAAGCCCATTCGCATATCATCGTACACTCCCACCGCCGCTTCACACCGTATCAGGCGGTGTCGGTTCGCGATCGTCGCTCTCTTTCGCCTGCTCCACCACGTCGTCATCCAGTGGTGCCACAGCGTCGTCGCCTGGTCGCTTGACGTCGCCTGGTCGGTTGACGTCGCCGATCGCCCCATTGGCCTCCCTGTCGCCGGATCGCGCACTCGCTTCCACAACTGCTGACTTCCTCTCCTCCTTAACTACGCCGGTCGTGGCCGTCGCCACGGCCGCTCCCTCGCTGCTGCTCATTCTCCAAGCTACTCTGTCTCTATTATTATCGGTTTCGCCTTAAATACTCTTACAGCAGCAAAGGCCGGCTGATATGGCCCCTCGCACCGGCCGCAGATGATAAAAAAACGCATATAAATCCGGATCGACTGAACTTGATCTTCTTCGATTCAAATCTTATAGCAGTCAACCCTTGAAACCTGCTAGACGGAGCAAATCTTCGCGCCCCGACTCGATCTCAGATCGAGAACCTAGCCCAGCAAAATGGAAACGAGTTGTCGGATCGAGCTGCAACAGCACTCGGGAGTCGGGGTTCGGGACAGGAGCGGAACTTGTGTCAGACGAGATGAGACGAGACGGGAGAGATGGCGGTAAATCCCAGGCAATTACACATGGGATGCAGCCTGGGAGTAGCAAGGCAGCCAGGGACGGAACGCGGAGCGGGCGGGATGCAGCGGGCGGGAAATACGAATTGGGGTTGGGGGAAAATTGGGGTTGTTTTTTATGGGGGAGCAGCGCAGAGCAGGGGGGGGACGCGCGTGCGCGTGCAACCCGAGAAAAGGGGACGGCGGAGGATGCAGGCGAGCGGATCATCTCGTCAACCTGACGAGACCGCGGAATCATATCTATATGTTACGGGTGCAATGAATCGAAGTAGCGAGAATTGCACTAAGGTGTCAAAACGAGTACAAAGATGTGAGCGAAGGCATGGGCGAACATTTATACGCGAAACATGCAAACGGTAACGCGGTGCGTGCGAGCTAGCTAGTGCTACGCTGGCAGCGAGGCTCGGGCTAGTCCCGAAGCGTAGGCCGACACAGCCGGACCAGCAGTGCGAGGTTTGGCAAAACAGTGCGCGCGAAGTTGGCGAAGTCCCGTTAGTAGTAACGGGCGAACAACGGCTGTTGCTGTACGCGATGTAGTCGGGCTCCTTAAGGAATGCCGAGAAAATTCCTTACACTATACATGGTTGGAAAACCATGTATATATGTAGAGCTTTACACTACACAATTCATAATTAGGAGATGTATTATAATTATGCTACACCGTTTTTACTTCCCATTACTACAGAAGATGTATTAGGATTAGTAACGGTTAAACAATGCAACAAGGAAAACCCAGTCACGCTTGTTGGAACGGTGCTGATCAGTTATTCAAGCAACAGACAGAAACTCATCTAACAAGCTAAAACAGCAGCACATGGCAGCAAAAAATTGCAATGTTGCCTCACATCTTCGTAGGCACGTCTACAAAACACCACTGGTAGTATACAACACTAAGGGCTACCTTGGAACGGCCACAGGCAGGACCTGGGAACCAGGTGGCAACCGACCCAAGCCAGGCAAGATGACCTTAAAGCTACGGGGCATGGGCGTGGGATCATAGTTGAAGCCTGTCAGGATAACACCTGCAAATGGTGATTTTAATAGTCGATAAGATGGAAGGCAGTGAGGCAGTGAGGCAAAGAGGTCAAGTGAACAACTCAAGATGACCGTAGACAGGCCAGATGATTGTGCAAGAAGCTCATGCTGTATACTCTAGATCCTGCCATTGCCACTGCCACCCTGTCATTACCACTCCCTCCCATCCTGCCATTACCACTGCCATCCTGCGATTGCCACTGCCATCCTGCCATTACCACTGTCATCCTGCCATTACCACTGCCATCCTGCCATTACCACTGCCATCCTGCCACTGCCACTCCCATCGCAAAACCTCCTCACAAGAGACCACTGACTCACCGTGGCTTCGAATGCCACTGATCTCAGTGGGAGGCACGTTGACGACAATGAGCACCTTCTTGCCCACGGCATCCTCCACGTCCATCACATACCGGCACGGCGACACCACCACTCGCTCCTCCCCACCCACGTCCACCTGCCAGGGCGCGGGTGAGGCGACAATGAGGGGAGACTCAGCAGGTTAAGTGTTTCAACTGCAACCGCTGCTGCTTTTTCCAATGATATTGCTCTCGTGCCTGCTTCTATTGCTGTTCTTGTTGTTTCTTGCTGGTGATGCTGGCGATGCTAATGATGCTGGTCAGGCCACGAGTGAGAGACGCATCATAATGGACGTGAACTTTCCTCTTCGTGTCCCAGATCCCAGACCTCCTCTGCAGCCCTGCAGCCGATTACCTTGACCTGCAGCAGTGTGCGGCTGTCAGTGGGCTTGCCCCTCTTGGCCGTCATCTCCGCGTCTGGCACCATCTTGGCGTCCACCTGGGCGAGAGAGACACAGTCAAGCAGGGAACGGGGTGCGCGCACAGGAGAACGAGAGGAAAGGAGGTGGAAGAATATGGAAGGAAATGTAAGGAGAGATAGAAGCAGTTGGAAAAAAAAATGGGTCGAGGGAAGAGGAAAGGAGGTGGATGGTGCTCTTATGATGGAATGTGATGCGACACGTGCTACTGATGAGTGAATGAGAGGTCGTGGAAAGTGCGACGCGAGATGGAATGACCACGCGTGGGCAGTAAATAATGGGCAACTGAGTAAATGACCAGTGCAGGAAGAACGATGGGGAAAGGGGAGCGCGATGGGAGCGCGTGGCGGGAGAAGAGGAGAAAGGGAGGTGGGTTGAGGTGGAGGAAGGTGGAAAGAAAGGGGGGAAGGGTGGGAACGGAGGGATGGCGCGGCTGACAGAGGAGCATTGCGGTCGAACGTACAACGACGCCCACACGGAGGTCGAGCGCATCGAGCGCGCTAAGCGGCACCTCCGCCTTCACCGGAGGGCAGGTTGAACGGTCCACTGCTGCTTGCGCCGGCTCCGTGTGCGCGTGCACGGACACACCCGCCGCTGTTGCTGCTGTTCTCCGCTGAGTCGTGCGCAGGCGCGTGGCGGGGAAGGAGGCGTGGCGGGCGGCGGAGGAGAGGGAGCGCGCGGGGGAGGAGGCGGAGAGGGAAGGTGCTCCTGCGACGATGAGATGGGGTGCTGCACAATGGCGAGTGGAACGAGAGATGAAGGAAGGAGAGCGGATGGGAATTGAGAGGAGGAAAGGGGCGGAGGGAAGTGCAGAGAGAGAGAAAGAGGAGGAAGGAGGGAGAGAGGGAGGCACCAAGAGAAAAAGTTGATGTTCATTTTTTTCCTCAAACAGTGGACTTTTTCTCCACGTAGAGAGATGAATCCAATTGAATGACTGGAAATTGATCGGAAGCAGCAGCATGCCTTGCTGTTCATCATTCTTCCGTTCTACTAGTCGAATTTGGTAAAATTATAGCTTCCATGTTTCCAAATGTTTCAGAATTTGTTCAGCGCCGTTTCGTTGCCACTCACCAGCGGCAAGGCTCGCCATGGCCCGTATTGTGTTGGCGAACAGAGCGACCGGTGATGCTGTCACGCCGTGGGTCAGCAGTCGCACAAAGTACGTCTTATATCGAGGAGCGGATTCTACTGCAAATCGAAATGGATTCCAGAAAAACGGAGGCTGGGAAACTAGCAGCAGAGGCAAATGAGGAGGTGCGTCCGCACGGGACAGAGAAGCAAAAATGGAATTCGGATGGGTGTGTCGTTTCAATGCGTGCACCTGGTGGATGGATTGTGCGGTGTGATCAGTAACCAACCCCCTGTCACTGGTCAGTCTGGTGATTGCAAGGGCCAAATCCGCCACGTGGGACAGTATGAGAAGGGGGTTTCGCTAAACATCCCAGCCATTCAGCTGACGTGGTTCTGAGTTAAAGATGCTGACCAAAGGGGATTTCTATGTGTCCTCGATAAGCATTATACTGACGGAGCTAGTACAGCCCATACGGTATAATGAGAATTATAATTACTGATTCCTGCCCCATTATGCTAGAATGCACTCTTCTTCAATCGATGAATCAAGTTTCTGAATAACATGTACCCCTCAAAGAAGGACATTCATTTGATAAATCAATTATTCCTTGTGTCCACTATTTTTATATTCAATTATGTAAGGAAAATTCATTTTCCTTACTTCGCGTCCCCGCTCAGCGCGTACACCACTGTAGCACCACAGTCGGCACCGTTGCCACTCGCAACCCTCGCATCGACAATCCTCCCGCCACCTTCGCACGTCGCACCCCGACCTCACGGCTCGGCGGGTAACCCGCGCTCCGGGCCTCCGCTTCGACATTTCCCCAAACCTCAGTCCCAGGCCCGTCGCGCGACAACCACAGTCCATTACCGTTACCACTGTAGTTTCGCTATATATTCTTCGCTCATGCCTTCGCTCATTGTACTCTTGCTTCGATAGTGCAATTCTCGCTCGATCACTCAATTGCACTCGTAACACTTGGTATTCAGAGCGTACGATCTCTTCTCGGACCGCACCCACACCTTCGCTTCCTCACTATCTCAATTTTTGGGGGGGGTAGACGTCTCTCAGCGACACAGCACCGCCGCTCGTAGTGCTCTCTCGCAAGCACGCACGGCCACGACAGAGGCTCTCGCTGAACTTGCCCGACACCCCCGCCATGGCCGAATTGACGCTCGCGACATTGACGCAGGAGCAACTCGACTGTGTGGTACGCCAAGTTGAAGAATCGGCGCTCGAAATTGCGACGCTCACGGCGGAACGTGACTCCGCGCGTCAGCAATCCACGCACTCCGGCGCCACCACAAGCACCTGCAAATGCACCTGCACAATCGGAGGAGCCGATCGTCATTTCATCAGGCACACCGACACAGAACGACAGCGTGGGGCAGCGCTCAGGCGCAGCCAGTGATGGCACCGCCCAACCGATGCCGGGCATGGGGAGAAACAGGGTCGCGCCAAGCCCGCAGGAGCCTCGTGAAGCCCGTCGGCACGTGGAGTTCGCGGCGACAAGTGGCGACCAGGCCATCATGGCACCAATGCCACTCAAGCCGCAGTGCCCGCCCTGTTTCGACCCAAGCCAGCGTGGAGGTCCGACGGTTCAATCGTGGGTCTTCACGATGAACGCATTTTTCGACAGTCGGACGCAGCGAAGATCCGATATGCTGTCTCGCTGCTGAGGGGCCCCGCCATGGACTGGTGGCGAGTCATCGTGACGTCGCCATGCGCCTACGAGCCACCGTCGCAAGAGGAAGGGCCCACGGGTCCAGCTGTTATCTGGAGTTCATTTTGCGAAACTGCCCAGTACAACACGTGGGATGCGTGGTGCGCAGGGCTTCGGGCGCGCTTCGAGCCGATCGCGGCTTCTATTTCGGCGCGTCAGAGACTGCGTACTTGGCGGCAGCTCGGGTCGGTTCAAGACTACACGAGTGGTTTTCTCGCATTATGCGAGCAAGTCGGCTACATGCACGAGGCGGAGCGGGTGGACCGTTACGTCGGAGGGCTGAAGCCAGACATCTCGCACGAGATCATGCTACGCGGGCTCTCGAACTTCAACGAGATTCTCGCGCTCGCCGAGAAAATCGACATTTTGCGCCGTCCGAGACCGGGGTCCTACTACGGACATCGCCCTCGGGGACCGATCGAGCACGCCACCGTACATGCCGTTGCGACGAATGCAGCTGCCGTGCCGTTTAAGGGGCGCTGCTTTGCTTGCAATAGGCCGGGCCATCGCAAGAGTGAATGCCCAGAGGAGCTGAGGCGCCGCGGAGCAGAGCAGGGGAGGGAGTCTCCGAGGCAGGGAAACGCCAACAGTCAGTAGGAATCGGGCCAACTACTGACGAGACTGCCTGCTCGCCCAACCCCACCGACCCTCACCGAGTCACAGTACCGATTCATTCTATCGATCGGACTCGGACGAATAAGGAGGGTACAGCGACGGATTGCCCAGTACTGATCCACGGGAAAATACAGGGAGCAACAGTGAAGATTTTTATCGACGGAGGAGCAAGTCACTGTTTAGTTAATACCGCAACCGCACAAAAACTGCAACTGACACTTAGCCGTTGTTTACCTGAGATAGATGCACGCTTAGTTGACGGCACGCCACTGGCCAAACGGGAAAGGGTGGAGAGAGTCAAAGTCCGCTGCGGGGGAAATTTCGGATTTACACAGGAAATGCTCGCAACGACATTGGATGGGCACGACATTTTACTGGGACGTGATTGGCTGCGACGGTATAACCCGCGAATTGACTGGACGACGGGTAGCTGCACTGTGCGAAGTAGCGGTAACTGGGTTGAGCTACCTCGCTGGCAGTCGCCCGAGTCTTCGACGGTACACGTCAACGCCGTCACCATGAAACGGGCTGTCGCTGCTGGAGCTGACGTGTACGCAGTAGACATTACAGTGGTAGAGGGAGCAGAGCAGCCGAGTGATTTCAAGAAATTGCTGGCAGCGGTACCGCCCAAACTACAGGAACTGTTGAAACGATACCCCGGGATTTTTCCCGACGACTTACCGGAAGGACTGCCACCTCATCGAGCACATGACCACCGAATAGAATTAGAACCTGGGGCACAGCCAACTGTACAGCGCCAGTTCAGACTGACACAACCCGAGCTCGACAAATTGAGGAAGCAGTTAGATTACTTGTTAGAGAAGAAATTCATCCGACCGAGCTCGTCACCGTTCGCCGCACCAATACTGTTCACGCCAAAAAAAGACGGAGGGTTTCGCATGTGCATCGATTACCAAGCGCTCAACAGGGTAACAGTCAAGTCGCGGTACCCCGTTCCCCGCACCGACGAACTGATCAACCAACTGCGAACAACACGGGTTTTTTCGAAAATAGATTTACGGGGAGGTTACCATCAGATTAGGGTCGAACCATCGGACTGCGCCAAAACAGCTTTCCGGACTATGTACGGGTCATTCGAGTACACCATGATGCCCTTCGGGCTGACCAACGCACCAGCGACATTTCAGATGACCATGAACGAGGCGTTTAGGCCACTTTTAGATAAATGCGTGATAGTTTACCTCGACGACATCCTTGTCTACAGTCGTGACAAGCAGCAGCACTTAGCAGATCTGGAAGCAGTGTTTAAGATTTTAGACGAACATCGGCTACTGACCAAGGGTTCCAAGTGCGAGTTTTTTTAGGACAGGCTAGAGTTTATGGGGCACGTTATTTCGGAGGCTGGGGTCGAAATTGACCCGAAGAAGTTAGACACGGTGAAAGCCTGGCACCCCCCGACGAATATCACGGAACTACAGAGATTTTTGGGGTTCGTCAATTACGTGCGTCGGTTCGTCCCTGACATGGCACGATTAACAGCACCACTGACAGACTTATTACGGAAGGGGGTCGCTTTTACGTGGGGGGAGAAAGAGCATGCTACCTTCTCTTCCCTGAAAAATATTCTTTGTTCACCACCCGTACTGCGCATCGCCGACCCACACCGCCCATTCGAAGTCGTTACAGACGCCAGCGACATCGCCATCGGAGCCGTACTGCTACAGGATTTCGGCAACGCCCTACAGCCCATCGCATACGAGTCACGAGTCACGAGAAAAACTACCTGATACACGACCGCGAAATGCTTGCGATCGTGCATGCATTCAAAGTGTGGCGCTGTTACTTGACCGGCGCAGACGTGACAGTACGGACAGACCATAAATCACTACAGTACCTTCGCGCACAGCCCCACCTCAACTCACGACAAATTCGCTGGCTCGATTTTCTCGAGTCCAATTTTCACTACACGGTCACCTACAAAAAGGGAGCCTCGAACATCGCCGACGTACTGACCCGCCTCACTGCCCAGATCCATGCCATACTACTCGCCCAAACCAGCCCCCTACTGACAGGCCTATTTACCCACGGGTACCAAACGGATCCATTATTCACAGGAGGAAATTCGCAGCAGTTCGCAGCAGCAAGGGGAGTCTATTACGTAAAAGTCGGGACCGACCGCATCTGGGTGCCCGGGTATACATTGCTACGGGAATTACCGTTACAGGAGGGACACGACGGAGTTACCTCGGGGCATTTCGGGGTAGAGAAAACACGGCAGCAGCTGCAGCGGTACTATTACTGGCCCGAGATGTTGACCGACGTACACCGACACGTGGCATCGTGCCCCACGTGCCAGCTCATGAAATCATCACGAAAGCGGCCGGCAGGACAGTTGCAGCCGATACCACCCCCAGAGCGTGCTTGGCAGTAGGTGATGATGGACTTCGTCACGGGGTTACCGGCCGGGGCGAGTGGGAACGACGCGATCTTGGTCGTCATCGATCGACTGACGAAAATGGCACATTTCGCAGCCTGCAAAAAATCGATCACAGCCAAAGAAACAGCTCGACTCTTCATCTCCACCGTCGTTCGACTGCACGGGATACCATCAGCGATCATTAGCGACCGCGAGATGAAATTCACCAGCAACTTCTGGCGGAACCTGTGGCAGCAGTTCGGCACGCGACTACAGTTCAGTTCTTCGTACCACCCCGAAACT